GCTAAAATAATTCATACTGCAATTAACAATTTTTAACTATGACAGTTCACTTAGGTTCCGAAATGCCCATCATATTACTTATATGTTCAAGGCACTATCCATAGTTTAATAATTGATTTATAGATAAAGAGTAAAATAGAAACAACGAGATTTAAAAATTGATTTGCACCCTTATTTTATAACAAACTCCTTAATCGAGGTCTGTGTTTGAAATAATAAACTCTAAAGGTGTATAGCTTAGGACCAGAAGGCCTAGGATAAAATCCAGTAAATCGTCAACAGCTGTTCGCTATATCCCCATGTAATGTGGCGAATTAGTGATTCTGCACTGCAACGCACAGAATATAAATCCAGTAAACGCTTTCCCATGTAGTTTGGCATCCGTCTACACGAAATATAAATTTTGCTAAATCATATCTGGTTGGATATAACTGCAGTACTGTTAAGTAGCTTTACGCATCCGGTTGAGTCATGCTTTTCGAAAACACGGTTCACCATTTACTTCCACAGTTTAGTTTGATTGTTGTCGTTTTCAGAAAAATTAAAACAAATTTAGCAAATTTTCCTATTGGAAAAAGAATTCCTATAACCTGGTAAAAAATAATGTTATACAACGAAGCATAGTTGTAGAAATAAAGTAATAGAGAAATTAAAAAAATGTAGATTTAAAATTCTCATGTTATATGCTTATGGAGGAAAAGTAAAATTACATCGTTTGCTTGTTTAGGTGTATATTTTTTTCAATTTGGCAAACTGATTGATTTCCCATTATACTTATTAACCAAAGGACACGTTTCCTTTCCTGTAACAGCGACCCTAAGCACTCGTTACATAATGTTTTTTTTTTTTTTTTATAAATAGTTGTGTTTATTGATAGATAAACCCTCAATAGCCGAGGAGTTTTAGTCCCCGCCTAGTAATTTGCAGGTCGCCGATTCGATCCCGAGAATGGTACCTTTTTATGCTTATAACTACACCCTGATGTCTATCCTACCACATATGTACTCTAATCAGAGCTACGTGGGAGTGTTATGTGCAAAAATATGTCTCGAAATCGATCGAAAGGATGTTGAAATATGTTTTTCTCAATTTCGTTTTATAGCATATTTGTCACGTTACAGAATTATTATTTGGCCTACATTTTTACGACAATTTAATCTGTATTTCTAATAAAACTATGTATTAAATTGTAAATTCTTCTGTTTTGTATTCCATTAGAATCGAGCTTATACATCATGCTTGATCCCCTCTTGATAATTAATGCATCTTAGTCGATCATAAACTCACCTATCATTCATAATTTGGGCACCAATGCACTCAAATATGTCCACATACAAAATTGGTAATCTTGAAGGATTTCTTTGTATAGTAACTGTCCTCCCGATGAATGTATTATACTGTCTAGTGAAAGGGAATCCAAAAACACATAACGATATATAAAATATCCCAAAATTACGCTGACCGAAAACAAATTGTGCTAACAAAATTGTCGATCCTATTGTTTTTGGAACCGGGATATATCCCCGGAGATAAAACCAACCCAGGCTCGTCCCTCGGGATCAATAATAAGTGACGGGGGATGCGATAGCGCTGTTACGCAAGACATTTTGGTTTTGGGGGCGGCGGCGGCCAACAACCCCAGTATAGGCACGTGGATGACCTACTGCCAAACCCACCCCCGCAACACCTTGACATTGGGGCTGAACCTGGGTTGAGGCTGTTTACCTCTGTAAATTTCTAGCCTGTGTAAAACTTTTTGAAATTTTTCCTTTAAGCGAATTTCCCATATAGGGAATAAGCTATTTTTATCTATAATCTTTATTTAATTATGTTACCTAATTTGTTTAAATTGAGCGTGTAGTGGTTAAGATGTTTGCTGGTTCAATACCAAGCAGGCTGAATTCTAGACCCAGGATGCTATTTGTGGTTGGGATACGAATTGTTGATGCCATCTAAAATTACGTTTAGCTCAAATTCTACATTGAATAATTAACAAGACCAAAGTTCGGTTTACTGTATCGAAACGTAACATGGTAATGACTGATTCAGTGGTTGTTTATGAATGATTAAGCAAAATATTATTTGCTTTGAGTATATATTCCTTTTTTTTTTAGCAATTTATAAGTAAGGCGCGGTGTATATGTAACCCTTGGTCATGCTAACATAACGTAAACCCGGCGTTTAAGAGAACAATTCATTAATATTCCAATTAAGAAAATGATCGTAGAATCCTAAAATATGGCTTCACGCGTAATGTTTTGAATTGCATTAAAACTAGATGGTTTAAAAAATGATCAAATCGCCCAAAAACAAATTTACGCACACATAAATGTTTAAATGGTAAAGTGAATTAAGTTAGTTTTGTTTTTATTATAATTTATTGGAACCAACGTAACTTTACTATTTTTAAAGTGGTTTAATTTTTTGAGTAATTTTGACTTTTTAATAAAATAAAACCAAACATATATTAAGTTTATGAGTGTTTAGCATACAATATCTCTGTCGCTCTACGAATAAATTGTTTTTACGCCAAACTCTGACTAATAAAATTAAAATCCATCAACTTATTTCCTAAGTTTACGAAATGTGTCAATTACTTTTAATAACACAAATTGAATAAGTTGTCACCGACGAGTAACTGCGGTTTTCAATTTTCAAAATTTTGTTTTTGCTTAGAATGATTGGAGTAACCATACTTTAAATAGTCATCAAATTTGCTACTACACGACAGAGTTTCAATAACTACGCAGGTTTGCTGGCACGGGGTGAGGCCGTGTAAATGCCAGAACCGGGTCAGCCGAACATCCACGTGTTGAACTTAGAAAATGTCACCGTTCTGTCAGAATTATCACTCTGTCTCACAGCTGATTATACTAACAACTAACTTTCAGACAGTTAACTTATGTCAAAACATAGCTTTATGACCACATATTTGGGGTTTAAAGGGGGAAGAAACTTATTGGAGTGTATGAAATATGAAACCATCAATGATATTGATAAAAAGTAATCAATAGGTTATGCTCCGCCCTTATTGGTAACCCTATAACAACCTTCGCTGGTATACTATAGGATTATATTCCAAATGTAAGGGTTAAGAGTGGAGTCAAATTTGCATCCAGATGTGATTTTCATTGGCCCTCTCTCTTAAAAAACAACAAACGGAGTAGGAAACCTGTTTCCAGACTATGAAGGGTTGATATAGTTAGTAGAGTTTATACATTTATTGAACCTAGTTTGATATGTTGTTTTTAGTTTAAAACTTAAATAAACTAACCTTATTGTGGGAAATTGTTTTATTTGTAAGATTTTTGGGGCTATGAAAATATTGTGCACGCTAGATGTATTTATTTGTGCAGTGTTGTGCATTTTAAAATATGCTTTCTGGTATATATAACTGGGTTGCGAGCTAGTTCGCATTTAGATCGGTCAAATATTTCTGTCCTACAGAGACATCGACTTCCGATTTTTAAGAGTTGTAAAAGGGATTCAGACGTCTGTATAGTAAACAAATACAATCCTAACATCGAGTAAAATTCCTGTGGTAAAAAAAAAAAACACAACAAATATACTCATTTTGACTGAACTTCAACCATATTTATAACAAAAAGCGCTCAGGTAGTGATAAAAAGTAGCACTTTCTGCCATCTACAACAATAAGCGCGTTGCATAAGACCCATTGTCAACACTGTTATCTCTGAAGATAACAACATATGAGGCGATGTGCAATGAAACTGGGTCTAGTTCATTGTGGATTAAAGGACAAAACAGGTCACCGGCCTTATATGTCGGTTCATTACTGTCTGTAGTGGTGTCCGGTCTCATGTGATACATTTTTTTATTAAATCTTACTTTTAATACTTTAATACTTTTCATTGAAATGACGACCATAAGGCTGGTGTTTTGTAATTTGTGGGTGAACACTATAAAACAGCGGTTGTAGTAAGAGATCGTCCTGCATATACGTTGCTTGAGAATATATATATCCTGTACTAGGGTTTTAACGTAAAGTAATATATTGGTTTGCCATTGGTGGCGATTTATTTTACTGTAAAGAAGGCTGAGGGTGATAGTCTACTAGTCAAAATATTGAACTAAACAATAACGAAAAGTTTTAAGCTTTACAATTACCTATTGTGATTTGCGTCTTTCTTACTATAAAAAGCTAACGTTAAATCTCACGCATATCCACATTATTTTAAGGGGCTGGACTGTAAATTGCACTGACATTGACACAAAAAAAGAGTTTCGACTGCAGAGTACGTTTAACTGCCTTTCCTAGATTTTTGAAAAATGAATAAGGCTATTCAAATGAATATGGCTATTAATAAATGAATAGGGCTGTCTGGAAAATATATTGAAGGTTTCACAGATTTAACACATAATTGCAAGTTGAAAGCAATCGGTCGAGTATCAGCAAATTAAAGTGCTACAATTAACCTCATTCAATTGAGACTTTAACCCGCTTTGGTAAGTGGCGAGAAAGCTTGGCTTTTAGTTGAACAAATGACGGAGATGGACTCTTGAGAACAAACTCTGAGATGAAGAGTGATGACGGCCTTGAAAAATTATAATTGGGAGGAGTTGTCTGGTTTATTGAGAAACTTTATGGAAGGGGAAAGATAAGATAAGAGACGTCGAAAAATGACCGTTCATTATGTTGAAACAAGCCCACTGTTAGTCTAGCGGCAGACGGATTAACTACTCGACTACTGGGGAACAACCGAATACTGTAGTCGCAACTACTCGGTTGGTTAATCTACTACTGTTGCACTTCTGTATGCACAAGCACAATTATAATATTTTTATTGTTTAGATTAATTCTTTTATGCAGGATGTACATGCTCATTGAAAATAACAAATACTTAAATAGCTTGCTTACGTAAGCTAATTGACAAAAACTCTAATGACATTTTTTACTACACATATTAAAACCAAACCCAATAAGGTTTAAAATAATATTCAAACAGTCAGTTAAAGTAAATACGTTGCATCCAACTCACCAGAAAGAAAAGTTCGATTTCAGAACGATCTGTAACAAAATCAATATAATTAGTTACAATTGGTGATTTGGCAAACATACCAAAATAAATGTATACGACCAATCTGCCGATAATGTATCCAACTGCACCTTGTCGTACTCAGCATTGCCTTTGGGAGGGGTAGCAGATCAGTTAAGTACTAAGTACTTTATACCTAATTGTTCCAAAACTCGTCTTGGAACTACCATATCATATCAGTTAAAAATCAGTATGCTGACGTTTTTTGTAAAGCAAAATAATATTATTTTGGGATGATACAGAGAAGTATATGCTCAGGAAAAATCCCATGGTTCACTAACTCCAACTTAGCGGTTAACCTGAAGTATACAACTGGAACACGAGAACTACTTTACTTACGCACTCCCTTCCTCTACTAATCCCTGTTGCGTAGGTGGCGTCGATTAATCTCTGTGGATTCATTTAGGTTATATCCTATACCGCAATGCACGGAAACAGGACAATGACAATCTCATTTACATATGAAAGATTATCTTACTTAGTGCAATGCTGATCCGTTACATCATTAAACGTAGCTCATTTGACGACGCGACAAGTTACAAAACCGAAATAACGCGATGATGAAAACCAAACTCGTGACAGCCCAATCACAGAGAGGGAAATGAATGTTTTGGCCCATTAATTAGAGTGACTCATCGACCATCTGACTCGCTGTAGTGTAGTAGTGAGGGTCCATCCTATAGCGAACTGACTACAGCGGCGTACTCGGATAGTAGGCGCTTCATTTATATTTGGCGGGATCTCCCCCTCCCCTCTTCGCCTCCCCCAACCTTTCTCATCAAATGTACATCAACACTTCCGGGACAAGCCTACGAGGAAATAGGTCAATGGCGATGGGAACATTGGAACCTGTGGCGGGTATGATCACACAGTGGTGGAGACGATGTTTCATTTAACTGCAGATTTTGAAAAAGATTTTTTTATTCTTTGGCAATGTGATCTAATGCAATTGTAAAACATGTTAATCACTTAACAGTACGTAAAAACTTGCTGTGAAACAATTTCATTCATAAAAATGTAGGCTTAACATATATTTACGAAAAGAGAAGACAAAGAACGGTATCAATAACTGAACAAGGGTTCTGGTAGTTAAAATTACAAAACCATAGACTAAAGTCTGCTCTATATTCTATTATAATACATACAGTATAATCTAATTAGCACTCGACTTATTATTCCACTGAACTATAGCTTTGGTTTAATAGATCATACTCATAACTAAATCAACTCATTTGGTCTTGACCCAATAATTCTTGGTTTGAACTTCATTTCGGTTATGATAAATTTATATTATTTGAGAGATAATTAAAAACATTTTCCATCACGTTTCGGGATCTGGAATCTGATTCTGCCCTTTATAAATTAATGATTGACGATAATAATTAGTATGTTTCGCAAAAAAGTTAATACAACATTTTACCCAGAGGTATACCGGTACGCAATACACTCGGGGTAATTTAGCACAAAATCAAAACCGTCAATTCAGTAATCACCTATCAATATTTACAAAACAAAACACAGTTCAAAATACCCAACAAATAAATCCACAGTTATTTCCGATCTCATAACACATCTCGATCGTTACATAACCCGGCCAGACAGACATTCCCCCTCCCTCGTGGTGGCCGAGCTCCGAGCTGCAATAGCGTTGCATGTGTGAGGAATTAAGATGACCCCTTTCCTTCCGCCCCCAGCAACATTCTGGCTCAAGTTCAACGAGTCTCGGACTGATGTGCTTTTTGTTGACAACGGATCGCCTTTGTTGAAACTAGAAACGCGATATTGCAGGTCGACTGATACACGGATCAGCATTCGATGTTTGCTTGGAAATATCTTCGTGTTTAAGAATTTTACTTATGTTTTTTGCATGCTGTTTTGTTAAATAATTTAGTTGGTAAATCTAGATGTGTTTATTTTTAGATTTATATCCGTGTACGATTGTTGTAAAATTATTAAGGTTGTTAGTATCAGTGACGTTATAATGGATGGTGCACGGTAAATTATACTTGAGTTAAAAGTCGAACCTGATCGGGGATCGAATCAGCAGATTTTACAATTGAAGGCAAACACTGTAAACACTTAGGTACTCAAAGATTGTCTTTTCTGTTCCCACTCTCTACCCGCCTTAAGTAGCACTGGTTTTGGTCTCACCGAATAAACTGAATATTCTAACTCGAGAATATCAGTTGATTTTTATGGTTTGCAACTGGTCCTAGCTGTCCTTGATCATTGGGATTTTCATAAATAATTCTGACCAAACATACAGCTGATGTTATTCAGTAACAAAGCTACACAAGGCATCTCTACTACAATACACTCATCCTTCATTAATATCTGGGTTCAAATACGTCCTGATGTGTTTCCATCCTCATCGGTAGTAAAAAATATCGATACAATTTTTGGAAGAAAACTTGTCAAACTATAGACTAGTTTTAACATATTTATTCTGTACATGTGACGCGTTACATAGAAACATTATTTTTTATACAAAATAATTTTTATAGATTGGTATTTTTTTACTTAGTACTGTTGAACTATGTTAATTCAACGAATCGCGTGTAAGAAGTAATTATTGATCACATTACAAGGACATGCTATTTTATATTCTGGCAGGATGTACAAAACCATTGGCCATTGACTTTTGGATAAAACGAAGTGAACATAGTATAAAATTAGAAACAATTGTGGATTAATAAGTATAAAAAAAACTGCTACAGTATTACATTTTACTAGATGAATGTAACTGTATATGAAATAATATATGAATATTTGTTGAAAAAGATTTGCCGACAATTTCAAAACGTAATAGAATTTTAGTAATGCTCTGAATATTAACACATTATACTTAAGGTTCTTATGATTCTATTGATGTTGAAACCTGTTATACAACAATGTGATTAATAACTAAATATTGTTGAATGAATATTGTTTGGTGTTTAACTATCAACATTAACATTTTATAAAGTGTGTGTAATCCCCGACACTAAACTAAACATAATTAACGTCTGTCTAATCTGCTCTCCAATTTAATCACCCTATTATTTACAAAAACGAAAGTTTTGATAATATTTCTATTACAGCCGTTTAAAATGTCCATTTTTTATTGTTTTATCTACACAACTTTGACATTGTAGGCTGTGTGAAATGTATGCTATTCACACAACTACAAAATTAATTTTATAAAAGTACCCCAACCACTTTGATGTGGTTACACGACAGTAATAACAATTTGTGGATTATAAACTAGTCCATTAATACAAGTGCATTTAGACTAGATTCTTCTTTTTTTCTTACTCACTTTAAATAAAAACTAACTATAAATAAATCATAATAGGATCAATTTTAGAATACTACAACGATACCATGTATTTAATTACCGGACCTGTACCATCTCTCCACGTAAACTACAATAGCTAGAAACAATGCCTACTTCTCCATAACGATACAGTATTATCAAAACCCACACGGGGTACTGTAGTAAAGACAACAAAGTGTAGCGTTGTATGACATTGGCAAGCTGCCTTTTAAGTGGACTGCTTAGATAAGGCTTATCTCAGTACAATAGTGACCTCAATGCTCACCGAGTAGATACAAATATATACTTAGTACTCTGAACAATACATGACTACCTACTCGATCACAACACTCTATGGCTGCTATACGTCCTGGCGTGTTTGGACGATTTAAGGATTAACTACAATAAAATTGTCCCAGTGTTTAAGAGCTTTTTAAGGGTAGACTGTCCAGAAATCTGAAAACCTCTTTAACATTCTCGGAAATTTAATGCTGAGTTTGAAATATATACATACATTGAAAATAATTATGAAATAGGACGTAAGCCATTAAAACAAATACTACAGTGTATTTCAGACTGAAAATAATAAATTAACTACCAACAAATAGTGCTTAGGTTTAGGTTGGGTTAGGTTGCATTAGTTAGGTTAATACCTAAAAATATAATTTAAACCATTGATTGTGTATTTTAACTTGAAAATTCCATATTGAAAGTTGTATACCGGAAAAGGAACATAGAATAAGTTTAAATGATAAAACAGTTATTTCACCAGCGATATGCATATGGCATTATATTATAACATGAGAAGACAAACAAACCAAATGTTATAGGCCTACGTATATGTATTTACTTTTACATTTGGTTCCCCGTTGCATAGATCGTATCCTCCTTTATCCTAAAGCAAAACTGTGTCCCATTTTCCTCAGACAAAACACAATAACCCTAAACAGGTCACAGTTATACGCAGAAAATCAAATTATTCAAAACGAATGATCGTATAATGAGAGAAACGTAAACAGACCAACCTCATAAATAAAATGCGATTGATTAATAATCAGCAGCGGTAATCATTTAACATGAGAGGGTGGTGAGCAGAGGGTGGTGCGATGCATATTGCATCGTCCACTGTCTGGCTGTGTACTGTTGCGTAGAACCATTGACTATACCATAGTCAAACTAATAAGACTATAAACCATAGACTATAAACCATAGTCAATGGTAGAACCACCTAACATGCGATTTACTGTGCTGGATAGATGTACTAGGTGCTAATAGACAAACATATCTAGATAGTTAACAGGCTTAGATTGTACGTAATATGTACTTGTATTCTCATTCTCCAATTATAATGGTCACAATTAATTAATTATTATAATACGGTACCTAAGCTAAATTTAATTTCTTTGTATTTGATACATTATTCAAAGGCTAAATACAATATTGTGAAAATCCGTTGGAGCAGAGGATACAATGTGTGAAAGTAAACAAATACTGTATACGTCTAATAACTCACTCTTTTTAACGGGTGAGTAAATACTAAGGTCTGCAAAAGAATGAGAATCATTCGTCTAATGTGTGTTGAGTGTCACATATATTTTTATATACAGTATTTACCGTCTCGTAAAAAAATAGGTGTTTGAAAATATATAAGTGTTATTATTACAACTGTAATAATAC